GTTCAAGGGATGGATGCCAGGTGGACTAGGAGCTATAGATGGTGGACAAAACCTGTGCAGGTTCTCTCGCTACATAAAGTGAGGTAGCAAGGATGCTGAGTGAGAGCCTGAGCAGGACAGCTAAGTCAGTCCTCCGAAAGGACTGAGCAGGCTCCGGCACTGGGAGGTGAAGAGGCCACTGGCCTTATGCAACAGCTGCTGTGCTCTCAGCTGAGGGCAGATGTTAGCCTGGTTAGGAAAACTGAAGCCACAGGCAGGGAGGAACCAGTGAGGTGCTGTCCACTATTGCCAAACTCCTGGAAACTGGCTTCTAAGATACTTCTGGGGAATAATACCCAAGGACTCACATTACTCATTAGGAAGGTTCCTAACCTTCCTAATGCTGCGACCCTTTAATACAGTTCCTCAGGCTGTGGTGACCCCAACCATAAAGTTATTTTCATTGCTACTTCATAACTGTAATCATAATGTAAACTCTGTGTTTTCCAATGATCTTAGGTGGCCCCTGTGAAAAGGTCCATTGACCCCCCAAAGGGGTTGCAACCCATATGTTGAGAACCACTGTTCTAGACTGATACAGCCTCACCTAATGATATTAGTAGGTCCTGTTGCTATAATGGCACCCTACTGCAGGGTGTCTGGTGAGTCTGTGATAGATGACACATTTTCCTAAGCTGGGCATAGCTTCATCAGTATTTCTTAGTATCCAAGAACATGGGTTTCATATTGTTCTTTACGGCGGATTACTGGCCTTTGGATGGATGGTGCCAGGATCATAGGGAGTGTTAGCCTCTGAGTGGCTCCCACTGCCATGCAAAACACAAATCATGTGACCAGTGCTAACCACTTGATTCAGAGACCCAGCATCCATCCAGAGCTACCAGCTTCTTTCCCAGCTTCCTCTTCCTGGCCTAAGTGATGGACTGTCTTCTTCCTGTCCTTTTCTGGGCTCCTCGATGTCTCCCAGGTGGCTTTCCTGATAAGTGGTGATTATACCCGACTGACTGACCAAGTTCTTTCCTCCATATGGATGGTGCTCTCCTAGGAGTTAGGACTGCCCTCTGGATGGGCTGGCAAACTGGTGCTGGAGGAGGCAGATACCCGGCACCCAGGTGAATCCCATCACGGATTGGTTTACGAATCTGAGGCCCATGCGGTGCGGTCCTCTCCAGTTCATGGCCTGCAGCACTGCTCATATGGGATGCCTCACACTGGGCTGTAGGATGAGATGTCTCAGTGGTTCTGTTGTCTTTTTCCAACCTCCAAGTCAGTGCTGCTTAACCACCCACTGGTCCCTGTTGCTCTCTCTGCCTCCTTCACATCTGGCCTGAAGATGTTCATGGAGAAATTGAGGCAAGAATCTACTTCTCTTGAATTTAGGGGTACCCTGTTCATATGTGTTCCCATTACTTTTTGGATATTCAAGAGGGCTTGGCTCTGACCTGGGGTATGGCCTTCAGGACCTGAAGATTCATGTGTCTTTGGAATCATGACTAGAAGATTGGTCAGATGACAGGCACTTAAGCTCAAGAGTTAGGATTGTGAAATATCAGGGAAGGAGAAGGAAAGCGTGGGAGCCAGTAGCTGTCTCTTTAGAGAGACACTGTGCATGCAAGCTGAGAGTCTTTTTGTGTGCCAATCCTGGGGAACTTGATGTGGACCTTTTCTATAAAGGCAGTGACCTGTCATCAAGTCAGGCTTTGTCACCAGCAGGACTTGGATTTTTAAGACAAGGGCTATGGATGCGAGTCTGCTGTCAAGCACTGTCCTCCAGGCATAACATGGCCATTACCATCTTAATCATAGCAGCTGGTTCCTGCAGGAAACCTTTGTAAAACACAGCCTGTTGACAGCCTGTGCTGGCTGAATGTAACTGGCATAAGCTCACAGGGAGTGGCACTATTGGGAGGTGTGGCCTTGTTGAAGGAAATGTGTCACTGTGGGGGTGGGCTTTGAAGTCTCTTTTGCTTTGCTCAGTGTCACAGTCGACTTCCTGTTGCCTTCCGATCAATATGCAGCGAGCATTATGTCTGCCTGCATGCCACCATGCTCCCCACCATGATGATGATGGACTGACCTCCGAAACTGTAAGCCAGCAACTCCAATTAAATGTGTTCCGTATATGAGTTGCTGTGGTCATGATGTCTCTTCACAGCAATAGAAACCCTAACTAAAACACAGCCCCTGAACAAAGGAGGGGGTGAGAAGGTCATTAGGCCCTTCCCTAAGATTCAGACACTCCCTCCCTCCTGTACCCTGTAGCTGTATGCGCTTCTGCACCAGAGGCTTGTGGTCTGAGGAGGTGCTAGGGCAATGGCTCTCAATCTTCCAAACACTGGAACTGTTTAATACAGTTCCTCATGTTGAGGTGACCCCAACCATTTGTTGCTTCTGCTATGAATTGTAATGTAAATATCTGATATACAGGATATCTGATAGTGATCCCTATGAAAGGGTCATTTGACCCCAGATGGGGTCATGATCCACAGGTTGAGAAGCACTGTGCTAGTGTATGTAGGAAGTAGAACATTTACTGAAAGAGGGGGCCACTCAATCAGCTTCTGGGAGGCCATTGTTCTTACTGGGATAAAACTTTTTGATGGTGCAGTTCTTTGGGGTCAATCCACACCCCTCTCCTATAACTAACCTAATAAACTATTCATTCCCTAATCCAGATTTGGATGAGATTGTTCCTCTGGTCTGTTGGGTTGCCCTGTCTAGAGTGAATAGATGCTTATTCATATCTCACTAGGAAGAGTGAACGCAACAGTGTATAATGGAGCTATTTCATCACTGATCTGCACACTAGCTTCATCTGGGCCCTTGTCTGGAGTTCCAAGACTATAAAATCCTGAACACAGTTGCCATACTGCCACTGCAGTTGTTTTTGTAAATATAAACTATTTCATGTTCACACCTAGGATTTTGAACATGACTTGGAGCTACTGTTAGATGAAGATGTCAATCAGGAAGTGTTCTAGAGACTATGGACTGACAGTAGGCTACACACCTGCTCAATAAACTCATCTTCTATTCAGTAACATAAAAATAGAATTGTAACCATCAGGTTTTCAAACTGGATCATGTATGTCACTGCAACATGTGTGGGATTTCTAAGCATGTCTCGAATGCTCAGTAGGCAGCCATGGATGCATACTCTTAAGTTTTCTCTGGCCTCTTAAAGGTCTCTATTCTTCTACTTTTCAGACCACCACTATGTTACCTGCTGACTCACCCCTATCCAAGACCATCACTGTGTTACCAGCTGCCTCACCCCTACTCAAGTCTTTTTTGCTTCTAGGTATTATCTGGTAAGCATGTCTCCCTCAAGCTGAATAGTGGTAACATGACCTGGAAGTGAGGTAGGGAGTAGGAAAAAGCTATGTTGCAGGTCCTTGTGACCTTGTCTCTGTGGTAGAGAGGACTATGAAGGAAGAGACCACTTTGTGTTTAGTGTCTAAAAAGGAGACCCCAAGGATGTAGCTGGATGGCTTCTAACTCTTGGGTCTTAAAGACACAGACATCTTTTCAGGTAGCTGGCCCGACACAAGAATTGGAGTCTTCCATACCCAGGAACAGGATGTTTTGATGATCAAGGAAATGTGGGTAGTTGATGAGAGCCTGAGTGTAGGCATTTAGCTAGCTGTGAGGACACAAGAAGTGAACCTAGGCTCATCACTCTAGCTTGTGCCCTGCTTCTCATTTGGGGAATTGCACAGAGCCATCTCCTATAGTCGGGGCCTCCTTCCTTGTGGGTGGTTCCCTGAATCCAGATCTTCACTCCAGCTATCTCACTCACTTTTCATGGCCTCTGGCTTGAAATGAAGCCATAGGAGCAGAGCAGGAACAAGGTCAGACATGGTCAGCATCCACAGGATCCCAGAATCCCCAGATGCTCATGTCCCAAATAAAAAACAGCCCAACACTTGCATATAATGTATGTCATTTTTTTCTGTATCCTTTAACTCATCTCTCAGTGGCATAATACTGAATACAAAATCTGTGTCACTTTATAAACGTGGCATGGAAAAGATACAAGTTTGAGAACTTTCTGGAATTTCTTGCTGAGTAAGTTCTATCCATGAGTGGTTGAATTAAAGAATAGTTGAACTTACAAATGGCAGGGCTAACTGTACCTTTTGTCTAGTCCTGCTGAAAATGTGAATTTTAACCTGAAGACTAATCTGGGATATAATTTATTAATCTGGTTTCCTTGGGAAGCCAGGAGAAAAGTGGATACATTTCAGATTTCTTTTATTAAGTTGGGTTAGCATGAAAAGTGGGCAAGTTTAACATCTGGACTTGGCCAATGAGCAAGACTGGAGTCTACACGGGTGGTTAAGGTGGTTGTAGGACATCTCCCCACAATGCATTACATTCTGCACCATACAGATTCCATCTGCCCCACTGGCTCGCCTGGACCAATGTAACTCTCTGTCCATATGTCTGCCATATCCATCCACTCCACCTTAAAACATCCATTCAAGAGGCTGAGCTCACTGCCAAATACAGAGGCCATCTAATTCTCGGGGAGCCTATTTAAATGGGAGTGTTAGAATTCCATGTATGGTTTAAATGCTGTAATTTACCACAGAAAATTTCCTCAACAAGATAAACACCTCATTTCCTAGCAGTGATTCATGTGATTATATTTGGGGCTGGGATGCAGCTGGCCTGCCTTAGGGGTGGCACTTCTGAGCAGGCAGTATCAAGCCGTTGCCCACACTTCCAAAGATGCCTGCTGCCCTCACCACACCCTTCTTTCCTCAGGCCACCCCAGACCTCTCAAATATTAATTTCTTCCCGCTTCTCCTAACCATCCTAGGGACATCGGTGTTAAAAAAAACCACTCTGGATTTTGCTTTTGCACTTTTGTTTTGGGGAGCATTACATGTGTGTAACTCCAAGAACAGGTAGTAACGAGCTGAAAAACCCACTAGAAACCACTTGTGAAAATGCCAGTGTGCAGAGGACGTCAACAAACACGAGGGGCAGCTCACACGTTGAGGGGCAGCTGGACTTTGGGAGACACGCCCTGTTCTCCAGCCACCGCGGCAGCTCGTGGGACGGCTGTGGGGACAGGTCCCGCAGAAGAGGAGTCCTGAAAAGAAAAGAGGATACATGAGTGAACAGAAGGAAGATTCTGTCTAAGAAGGAGAAGGTGGGTCAGCGGACACCAGCAGCCATGTGTATTCCCTCTGTGTCAAAGCCTCAACCTTCCCCAGTCATGCTGAACTTCCCTGGTTATTAGCCATATTGTTAATGGCCCATTGGAGGGAGGGTGCTGGCCCAAGACACATGTCCCAGGGCATCGTTCAAGAGCCCTTCTGAGTATTGTACCTAGGTCAGCGTGGGAGAAGACAGCGTCGGACAAAGGCCAGGCTTTATCTTTAAAACCTGGACTAGGCATTGGTGTGTGGAAAGTGAAAATCTAGACAAAGTATTCGGGAAGCAAATTTAGGTGGCCATGGACTGGGAACACAGATTTAGGTCTCCCTAAGTACCGTGCTCCAATGTGGAAGCAGTTTCATGAAGTTCTGATGGTAATAGTACAAAGAAAAGTCATGAATCCAGACAGTCTGCAAACCCACTGGTGGAAGCATTAAGTAGGGTATCACAGCACAGTGGAGAAATTTCAGTTGTCAGCCCTGAGCACCTTGATGGCACAGTGAATTCCTTGATTGGTGGGGAACAGGTTTTGTCAATGCATTCCAAAGGTTTTTATCTGTTTATTGGGATATGAGGTCTGACACTGAGGTGGGCAAGGGAAGGCTCTTTAGATAGGTTAAAAACAGCCCAAGAGAAACTATAATTAGTCCCTGGACATGCAACATCCCAAACTCATTACAAATACTGACGTTTTAGTCAGTCAGCTTTGGTAGACACAACTTCTTTCCAAGAATTCTTCTTTACAACTGCAAAATTCATCTCTAAGTGGCATTCTGAGGAGCTGAACATTAACTTCTAATGACAGTCAAGAGACAGGAGGAGGACAGGATTGACAAGGCAGAGCATGCCCTGCCCAGGGACTCTGAATCTGGGGTCTGAAGACTTCAAGGGTCCCTCTATGCAGGGTTTGGGTTGGGTGATGCTCCAGCTTGAGGCTGTGTCTTCTAAGTGTTCTTGTATGCTGAGCTCTCCAGGTTAAGGTTCTGGGAGGCAAGCAAATTTCAGTCCTTAGAGGTCACTGTTGTCCACAAATTCCCTCAACATGTTTGTTCCTTCTGCTCAGACGTTATCTGGAAGCACAGTGGGTTGAATTGTCTCCAATGGTCTTGAAGTCATTCAAGCCATAATTAAATAGGAAGGCATAATGTGTTTGGCTAGGAGAGACAGTGAAGGCAGAATTCCATCTCCTGGGCAAAGGGGAAAGCTTGGCCAAGAATATGGCTACTGCTGGTATTTGTCATGCACTGGTAATGCCATATTAGCAGGCATCCACAGATCCCCTGGGGAAACCAAAGTGTTCCACAGAGTAGGTATTAAGAGGCTTAGGAGGATGGGCTAAGGATACCCAGGAACTCTGGGGCTGATGGAATCTCAGGCCCATTTAGAGGTCTTAGTGAGGCAGAGTACCCGCCAGGTGGCAGCAACACCAGAGCGAGCGCTGCCCTCAGGGACAAAAGCTAAAGGTGCTAAGGAAGGTTGCGAGGCTTTGTAGTTTTGATGCACACGGGGTCCTGTCCATCCACTTCTGAATCAGGTCTTCATCTCTGTCACCATCGAAGCCATGAGAGGAGCAAAACTTCTGGCAGGAAGCTGGGGGCTGTGGCTTTCTGGAGACTTCAAGAGCATGTCTGTGGAGATTACTGAGCCTGGTGAGGATTGCCGATAGGCAGCTGACCTCTTCCAACACTGTTAGAAAGCATAAGGCAGACACGGAAGCCTTACAGAGCTGATCAAAAACTCACAGGCCTGGGTACTACACAGCATTCCAGGCATCTGGCTAAGCCTCCAGAAACATGGTGCTGTCCAAATGCACCTTCACACCCCTAACAACCCATTCTTCTCATGAGATCGTTTTAAGAGTGTCCGAAGCAGAGCAATACTGTGGGGGGCGAGAGTCTGGTTTGAAATAAATCTGAGTGGTACTGTAGGGCATGATATAGTGTAGTTCTCCATGGTCTAGTTCTCCAGCTCCCAGAGCTTCCACCTAAACTGTAGGCAGCATCTCTGCCTTTGCTTTATAAATATAAATGTTGAATACACACACGCATGCATGCACGCACGCACGCACAGGCAAGAGTATTGATGGAAACCAAGACCTTGCAAAGACTAAGCAATCATCTAAACTGAGTATATGTTCAGTTCTCTTTTTACTTACTTGAGACGGTGCCTAAGTAAGTTGCCCAGGATAGCCTTGATTCACTCTGTAGCCCAAACAGGTGTTGAACTTGAGAGCCTCCTGAGTAGCTACAATTACAGGCATGTGCCACTAGGTCTTGCTTCTGATTAGATTTTTAATAATCTAATTTTAGAAACAGGGCAATGATTAAAAATAAGAAAGGCAGAAGGCCTCTGGTTGCCTTGAATGAAAGTCGGGACTGCACATCCACAAATGAGAGAGAGCATGTGACATTTGTCTTTCTGGGTTAACTTGTTCAGTATGTTTTTCAGTTCCATCCATTAACCTGCATCTTCATCTTTCTTCACAGCTGGATAGTATTCCATTGTGTATTATATTTTTATCAGGTGAAAGATATTTACACTGTTTCTATTTCCTGGCTATTGTGAATAGAATGGCAAAGGAAATGATGGAGCAGGTTTTCTGTGTGATGTCAAGTTCTTCAGAGACACGCAGAGGAGTGGTAGAGTTGGGTCATATGGTAGGTCTAGCTTTAGTTTTCTGAGAACTTCTACACTGATTTCCATAGTAGCTACACCAGTTTGCAGTCTATAAGCAGTGACTGAGGGTCCCCTTCCCCCCACATCCTCATCAGAATCTGTCAGTTGTTTTCTTGATCTTAGCCAGTTTGACTGGGGGAAGATGAAATCTCAAAGAACTTTTAACTTGCACTTCCTGATTGCTAAGGATGTTGAACACTTAAATATTTCTCAGTTATTGTAATTTAATTTTTCCCTTTGATAGCCCATTATTTTGACTGAGTCATTTTTTTTATTCTTTATTTTCTAGATGTTAATAGTCTCCTATTGGATGGATAACCAGCAAAAGATTCGCTTCCAGTCTGTGGCCTTCCTCTATACTCAAATCTTTCCTTTCCTATATAGAAACTTTTTGACTTACTGAGTTCCCACTTGTCAACTGTTGGCCTGAATTCAGAGTGAATGGGATCCTATCCAGAAAGTCCTTCATTGAGCTTGTATCTTATAGGATACTACTCACTTCTTCCATCACTTTCCATGTTCCGGGTTTCACACTGAGGCCTTTGATCCATTTGGAGTTGATTTTCATACAGGGTGACAGATATGGGTTTTCTATTTTTGTGAAGAATGTCAGAGATATTTTTTAAATTGGTATCACACTGAATCTGTAAACTACTTCTGATAGTATAGTCATTTTCACAATGTTAATTCTACTCATTCAGAGCATGGGAATCATAGCTCCAAACCTTTGGATTTGAGTATATAGCTTGAAGTATCCACAGAGGCCAGGAAAGTAGAAAGGGACCCTTAGGGATGTGACACAGTAGGACACAGGTGCTGAGAAGTGGGAGAGGAGGGACTGCAGGGGACCTTACCTGGGGATCAGGGAGGATGGCAATACAGAAGGAGAGGGAGGAAGGAGAATAATTAACACCAATGGAAAGACACAAGGAAACACCGTTTTATAGCTTTCTTACATGGAGTTATGCCATATGGGGTGATGATCCTCCCCCCAAGCGCCACAGATTATCTAACAAAACCTTCCTTCAATTTGCTGGTCATTTGAATCCAAGAGACTCCCAAAACAATTAAGGCCATTGCCCTTGGTAGCCTCCTAGATCTTGAAGGCAAGACCCGATTGCTTCAGATACCACACCGTTGGATATAGTACTGGAGGAGTCATGCTGGAGCTGACCTGGAAGGCTCCTCCCGGAGGATTAGCTTTCATACTATTGGAAGGTGCTATGCAAGCTGCCATGGGAAAAAAAAGCAATCAGTAGTCCTACTCAGCTATAAAACTTATGAACTACAACAATGACCAGCACAGCAAGATGCCCCCGGTGGTGCAATCATGGCACTTTTATCTTGGGAGGTAACCAAATAGCTGTCTAATTGGACTTAAGGGCTGCACAGTAGGAGAAAATCCATGTCTGGTACTGTAAGCCTAGCCAACTACCCATTGCAGGAGAGGTAACCGGCCTTAGAGGAGAATCTACTGCTGCCATTAAAAAAGTAATATAGTTTCTAACGGTCTTCCAAATACTTATCCCTATGCCCACAGGCAAGTCCAGCTCTCACCACTTCTTCAAAGAAGCCCCTTTTTTTCCCCAGCAGATAGATGCTTTCAGATACCCACAGCTGGTCAAAATACAGAGAATAAGTTACTGTGGCATTCCCAGCCCCAACTGATACATATACCATGTAACCCCTTTGCCTAAGGCTCAGGGAAAATTGAAGAAGGGGGAGCAGAAAGATTTTAAGAGCCTAGGAACAGGATTCCTACTATTATATAGTGTCTGGTAGACATGATAGATTTATGGGTATAAAATCTCAACCATGTGGCTGCCTACGCAAGAACTTGATGAATAGTCAACATGTCAGCACAGATAGGGTGTCACAAGGTACCACTCCTAGATGAAGATTATAGGCCATTAATGGCTGCTGAGAGCAAGAGAATCAGTTTTCTCCATGAATGAGCCCACTGATAGGTTATCCAATCCCAATTGATCAGCCCTTAACACATACATGTGAGTAACACTAAATGGACTCAGTAGGTTGTATAAACATATATTCCCACATACATATATCTGTATACACATGTAAATAACAATAGCAATCATAGAAGAGGTCATGATTTTGAGAGTGAGTTGGGCCAAGAGAGGAGCTGGAGGGGGTGAGGGAGGGATGAAATGATGTAAATATAGTACTCAAGTATAAAATTATCCCAAATTTTTAGTTAAAAAAACAACTATGACTATGGGTTGTGGTGGTTTGAAG